ACAATTGGTGATGATACCCTGGCTTGTGTCATCCTTGCCATAGTCTTCATCATAATGCCCTTGCTTTTAAACACTGTGAATAAAGAGTTCTTGTGCAGCAGGATTGACCCAAGGGAATGCATCCTTTGATCTCATGACTCCTGCTTCCATGAGCATCGATTGTGGATCCAAGCAAGAGGAAATCCTTGACAACTTCAGTCAATCTTTGCTCTGCTTATTGTATTACGATTGGGCCAGTTTGTGAGTATTTTGGCTTTTTCTCACTGAGTTGTAAACCAAGCTGAGGGGTACAATCCTTGATCTTCATCAGCAAGTGCTTCGAGGCCTCCTCCCTCTCAACCAGAAAGGCTGGGTCATTGGTATGTGGAAGGCTGTTAAGAAGCCCCCCTACCCCTGAAGCTGCGTTCTTCTGTTCTTCTTCTTCCACCCTTTGAAAGGCAGCAGTATGCACCGTCCCTTACACCGCCATTAGACGAGGTACAAATAGATCTACCCACTCAGAATAATTCCTTGCAATTAGCACAACACAGGGCTGTGAGGTTTAGACCAATGACGTTGGTGCCTGAAGGATAATAAACTGGGTGGGTTCGCGAAAGCTTACACATTGCCTATAGTGTCCAGGGTGCTCTAGTTACCCAAACTCAGATTCTCCTTGGGCATTTTTACCAACAAACGGAAATGGCGTTCTTCACACTCTCCCCCGCCTCTCTTCTGAATGCTGGAGTCTCCCACGCATCAGAAGGATGGCTGGCTGTTGTCATGGTTGTTGTTGTTACATGCCATCGAGTTGGTGGGATGCATGGGGGCTGCATGAATGTATAAGAGCTAGATGATCAGACTCCTCACTAATCCTGCTGATCTTGTGGGTGAGATTTGCTTTCCACACTTTCTATTTCTGTTCCATTTCTTTTGGGCAATAACTAGATCCTACCTTTGCAGGTGGGCAGACGCTCGACAGGTATTATTAGCTCAGGCAAGGAAGGGAAAGACCTCCATCCGCAAGAGAGAAAAGGAGAGCAAAGGGGCGGGTGAGGCAGTGGGAGGGTTGACAAAAACAAGGTCGAAGACGAAATTGATGATTTGAAACTCGACATGCGCCCCTCCCCCCCACACACACACACCCAACTCACAAGATACAGATGGTTAAAAATGTAACAAAGCTATGGGAAAACTATGACAAAAAATATATATGGTAACCATTTCCCCCAACTATCTTTTTCTGACTTCAGAAAATACAGACCCTGAGCGTGAACATTGCTGAGAGAATGCCTCTTGGCGGAGATGAGCGGATGAATTGGGTGCTCCCAACTCAATGAGTAATTGTTAGAAACCCAAGGGTGGGCACTCGGTGATTTCTCAGTCACACTGACTAGTCATTACTGTGGCTCAGATTGCTTAAACAGCTCGACCATGCATATTTAATCACAGCATAGAAAACTTAATTCTAGGGAGTGATAAGCAATCTGGGTAATAGAAAAACGAGAGCATGGCTTGTCCCAAAGTAAGCACAGTGTATTATTAGCTGTCAGATGAAATTTTAATGCGTTTTGGTCGGAAATAGAACTAAACTTTGGGAGAACAGCGCTGTCTGCTTGGTTTCCCAGCACCGCAGCCCTTCAAACAGGCCTTTCTCATGGTGATGTGTAAATTGCACGTCTTGGAGTATTTCTGGGAATGATCCTATCTCCGTCCCATTTCCCACGCGGGCACAGTGGCATCTTGTCCAGTGGCTCCAGGCTCAGACTTTCCACTACTCCAAAAGCAGAGTCCCCCCAAAATGTGCTTTCTTGGCATGAACTACCCCAAGCACTGGTCCAAAGAAAGTGAGTGACCCCAACAGTGTAGCTGCGAGGAAAACTGGGAGCCCCACGAAAGAGTTACAGGAAGACATCATTGGGAGATTTTAGTCTGGTCACCACTTGTCTGGTTTGACAGCAGAGCACCGTGGGCAACTTGACATTATCATCGTGGGAGGGGTGTAAAAATGTGATGGACTCAGCCAATGTAGCCAAAGGTGGGAACCATTAACCACGAATCGAAGAGCCAGACCATGAAAGAGATTGAAAGTGACTGATTTGGATGAGTCAGAAACAACTCCGTGGCGTCATTGTATCGGAGCCCCTGCTATGTGAGAAGGCTAAAAGTCTCCATAGTTATTTAAAATCCTAGAAAAATGAATTTAAAATTGTGATTTTGAGTCTATGAGTCCATTATTTGGTTTCCCGCTATTTATTAAAGGGAAAAAATGTGTTCACTTCTCAAACTTTTTGATTATAAATTTGGAACAAATTGAGTTCAACAACTAAGGTCTCACTCTTCTTGGGAGAGGTTAGCCCCCTGGCACAAGAACAGCTTTGATCCACGATGGCAGCCCTCTCTGGTTGCCCACGGAGCTCTTACTCTCTGGGGGAGAGACTGAGGCCCGGAGCCACAGGCTCTGTGTTTTGGTTCATATTAAGGGCTCTCTGATGGGATGGGCCATGCTCATCTACTCTGCCCCTATGTCCCTGGTCCTGAAAGCAAGGCAGCAGTGTTCGCCTAAGCCATTGCCCTCGTCCTTGGAATGGGCCCGATTGCTGTTGTCTTCTTTGGGATGTTACTTTTCGTTGTGAATCGGATGGAGGCTCACAGAGCAGAAACAGTGTCCGTTCAGCAGTCCATATGCATTTTTTCATCTCACTGATTACAATCCCGCAGTCACGTCACCTCAATGTCCCCACTTCTTTCTTCCCACCCTTTCTGCACTTTGTCCTTGGGGAACCGTGTCCTTTGAACTCTGAGGGGTGATTGTTGGAAGGTGTTCCCCCCGTTGACCTGTCTATTGTTAGGGGTAAATGGAGCCATGTGGGTAAGTTCATTTCCAGACCAGTGCTTGAGGGATCCCTCAGCATCTGGCAGACCAGGAAGCCTGGTCTTTTTATGACATTGGGTTTCATCCCACATTTTTCTCTTGCTCCATGCAGACCTTGTAATGTGATCTTTCCTTTTCAGATTGGCGGGTTGTGGTAGCCGGGCACCATCTAGTTTTTCTGGTCTTAGGATCACAGACACTATGAACCCACAGCCTATCCGTCCACCAGACTAATCATTTCCATTGTTCTACCATTTTATCTGAGTGTCTATTTTTAATTAGGAGAAACATGTAGAAGGGATGCGTCTAAGCTCAAGGAAGTCTCGAGAGGCAAAATGCGAATGTTTTGTCAATGAAGCCATGTTGAAGGTGTTTAATAGGTACTGAAAGTGTTAATCAATAGCAAAGGTGTGTCATCCATGGCGAAGGTGTGTCATCGATATTGAAGTGCTGTGGCTTGGACCCGCCTGCCAGCAATCTGGAGATGGCCATAAACAACGTTCTCTGGAATCCAGAAAATCACTGCCTTTCTCAGACCTTCATTCGTCTCTTCCCATTTCAAGACGAGAAGTAATTTCTACCCGTCGCTGGATCCTACGTCTGAGCTGGAACCTGAAAGCTGAGTCCCCTTTCTCTCTGCATTCGCACGCATCAGAGATGATGGGATGCTGAAGCAGAAAGCCCGCCGCGGCCTTGCGGATGAGTCAGCTGCTGTCTAATTGGCTTTGCAGGAGCCTCGATTTAAAGGCTGACTCTCCCTCGCCATAAAATAAGCCTCTGTGACTCACAGAAAGCAGGATTCTGTTGATTAAGGAAGCCCACTTTTATGGGTAGTAAAGAACTGGCCATTAAGAATTAAAACCTAAAGCTCAAAGTCGTATTTTTTCTGGCTAAACTTTGTAGGGTGTAACGTTTCCCAAACTGTCGGTTAACCCATTGATTATTTCCTGGAGAGAATCCGATAAATACCCTCCGAGCATGTGAGAGCCACCTGAGATGGGGAAGGACACTTTAAATGTCATTTAGTGTGATATTTGAAAGTGCTGGACTGGAGGGAGCTCCCTTCTAAGGGCGAGGCCTGTAACAACAGGGTGTGGAAGGAGAGAGCAGCCCGGGGCCGGGTCACTGCAAGTCCCCTGCAGCCCTGTGGTCGGGTGTTTCTCTCACAGAGGGCTCTGGTACAAGAGCGTTCGTGTTTCTTGTGTGAGTGAAGGAGGGGCCCTGAAGAGGATACACGACCGCTCTCCTTTCTTCCTCTGCCTCCAGTGGACAGGCCTCTAAACCAGCACATCAGAACCGTCCAGTTGTCAGGCTGGCGCTGGCCCTCAAGCCTCCCTGCTGGACCAGGTCCTCTGGGATTCAAAAACACGCCCAGGGGGGAAACAAAATGATGACCCTACATGTCCCATGATGACAGCCATAGTGGTCACTCAGCTGCCAGTGTCCTCAGCATGATTGGAATTCATCCGTCCATCTTTCCAGATGTTGGGAAAACATGGTCAGACATGGCCACATTGTCTCCGATCCACGGAGACCTCAAGCTGAACACCACGGAATGCTGCCTGCTCCTGGCCCCCCACCCTGGAAACCACACGCTCCTCCTCGGGAGAAAGCAGAAGTTGCTGCTCCTGTGAAGATGGACAGCCTGGCTCACCCTGGACGCAGAGAGAGTCTCCAGGAGTCAGAGTGGGCTTGATGGCAGGGAGCGGACCCTTGACAAAAGGGGACCACCACACCATTCTCCCTGCAGTGGCCGGTGTTACGTCTCAACGGCTGCATTCCATGGGTGCTCCTGCTTTATTGGTAAAAAAAACCACCCCCTTGCCATCGGTGAGTCAGAGTCTCAGGAAGCATACTGCCGCATCTTCCACCCTCGAGGTAGCTGGTAGATTTGAACTGCTGACCTTCCCGTTAATAGCCATGCTCACCCTGGATGCCACAAGCGACCTTCTTTACCAACACTCTCTGTACAGTTTCTTTTCCAAGTAACCTCAGGTCAACTGGCAGGAGAGGGGAGTGGGTGGGGGACCACCCTGGACCTACGTTTCTCAGGGAGACACTTTGCCACCCTGCGCCCCATGGTGGGCACACAGCCCCCGGGTGCCTGTCGCCCCAAGGACTGACCCCTTCTGTCATTTTCTCCCTCCAGGGGCCGATGTCATCAACTTTGACGGCCACGTGGTGCTCCCCTACCGATTCCGAAACAAGAAGATGAAAACGCTGAAGGACGTCATCGCGCTGAAATTCAAGACCTCGGAGAGCGAGGGTGCCCTGCTGCACGGCGAGGGTCAGCAGGGAGACTACATCACCCTGGAGCTGAAGAAGGCCCGGCTGGTCCTCAGCGTCAACCTCGGTACATGCTGGCCCTCCGTGCCCTTCCCACCAGGTCCCTGTCGGGGACACAGTCATGGTGCTTCAAACCAGCCTGCTTTCTGCTGGCAACGGGTTCTTAAGCCATGGGTGGGGGATCTGTGCAAAGTGGGCTCATTGAAAACACTCTAGGCTGCAGGCCCATTTGGACAGGTGGGGGGCCGGCTGGGAGGCAGTGGGGATCAAAAGCGCAAGCTCGTGAAATTGAGGGCACTGCATGTAGCTGAGTAAACTTCCATAGTGAGCTTCACTCAACTGAATCTAGAGAGTTCCTTTCCAATGAGGACATGGCTCCAGGATGACTTTCAGCCGGGTGCCAAGGTTAAGGGCAGGTGCAGTGAGTGGGGGGGAGAGGTGTCTGGTGAGAAGAGGGTCCGGCTGAGGGAGGCAGAAAGAGTGAAGGGGTGGGAGGGGTTTCCAGAGAACAGATCCAGAGCAAATGGGTTAGGCGTGAAACGCTGGGGGCTCAGAGAGTCAAGACAGGGAGGTCCAGGGGGTCTTCCCACTGCATGCCAGCCTGGCCACAGCTATGGCTTCTCTCAGCTTAGTGTGCGAGTGGGCTGGCCAGCCAGGTGAGGTGGGGCAGAGGTGTTTGGGGTGGCGGTTCTCAGTGATGACAGGATGGCTTGGGGGGACTGTACAGGAGGGGACAGGGGAAGACGTAGAGCAGGGTCCCTGGGACTTGGGGCTGAGCATCTGGCGGCCATGAAAGCCACCTTCAGAGACCCAGAGGGCTGGGAGTGGGGTCATGGTGGTCGGTGTGGACCTGGTACGGTGCTGCCCCTGGGGCATCTGTGTGGACAACGCTTGGGGGCACAGAGACTTAACAGAAAAACCCAGACAAAGCTCATAGGAGAGAAGCCGTAGCAGGAGAAGTAAATGCATTTTATCAATCCCAAACGCCCCACGGTTCGCCCTATAAAATAAACGTGTACTGCAATCACAAGGGGCCCATCCCTGCCCAACAACTGTAGATTGTTTTACAATAATGCCCACCACCGTCCAGTCCACTCACATTCACAGCGGTCCTGGAGAACAGAAGAGAACATCTCCTTAGGGTTTCAGAGACTGAAAACCCTTATGGGAGCAGACAGCCTCTTCTTCGCCCTCGGAGCGGCTGGTGGGTTTCATCTGCTGACCTTGAGGTGAGCAGCCTGACGCTGCACCCTGGCACCTCCTGAACTCCTTGCTGTAATACAGACTCACTGCGTGGAGTCATTCCGACTCACGGCGGCCCTGCAGCACAGGGGAGGGCAGGCCTGGTAGCTCTTTATGGAATAGGGAGGCGTCTTCCTCCCAGGGACAGCTGGTGGTTTCAAACTGCTGGCCTTGCAGCTGGTAGCTCAATGTGCAACTCTGCTAGGTCACCCGTTATAATAAGTACATCTTATTTAACTAAATAATAAGAAAATAGGTTTTAAAAATGGCACTATCCATGTACAGTTTAAAGAGCACTTTGAATTTTTCCCTACACCAGGAAATAGTTTCAGGAATGTTTGACCAAACAATCTGACAAAATTAAATATCTAACAATACCTAGAATCGCCCATGTGATTTAATCTTGCCATCCAAATGAAATCATGAGAGCGGAGGACAAAGATTTTAGTGATGTGCTTTGCAATATTCATCACAATGCCAAAATTCTGGGGATGGGGGGGTGGGGGAAACTAAGTATGTAGAAAGAGGCTACTGTGCACTTTAGAAGACCGCTGGTCCTATAAGGAAATAAATACTCACTTGATAATTTAAAAAACTCTAAGATAGAAAAATATTATAAATAGAATGCTACCGGTGTTTGATTATGCTAATATGATCACTCTGTGTAGGGTTAAATATATATGTTAGGTGCACGTTTAACCCTGAATGTGAATATACACCGTCACCTATAGACGTGCACAGTGAAATGCTGCCTTGACTCTCAGGTCTTCGAGCCTCCGGCTCTCGGTGGGGCAGTCTTAGGGCTCCCCCATCACCCTCCACTGAAGGGAAATATTGGGGTTTTCAGGGTCTGGTCGAAGTCTGCCTTCCACAGGCTTGACTGCATATGGAGCATCACCAAGGCCTCTGGGGGGATAGAGTAATCTGCTTATCATACCCTCATACCCCCTCCTCCCAGGGAGGAGCAGGCTGCCTGCTTTCAGAGGCCTGGGAGTGCCGTGGTGACCCCTCGCTATTAACCACGACCCGCCCGCATTTCTCAGAAGTCCCGGGTCCTGAGGGGGAGCAGGGGGTTCTGTCCTGTTCTCCAGGAAGCAGCAGGCTTCTCCTCTCTGAGTAGCTTCTGCGCTCAGGGTGGGGGCGCAGCTCATCACCCCTCCTTCTCTTCCCTCCCGACACAGGAAGCAACCAGCTGGGCCCCATCTACGGCCACACGTCGGTGACAGCCGGCAGCCTGCTGGACGACCACCACTGGCACTCGGTGGTCATCGAGCGCCAGGGCCGAGGCATCAACCTCACGCTGGACCGCAGCACGCAGCACTTCCGCACCAACGGGGAGTTCGACTACCTGGACCTGGACTACGAGGTGAGGGGCGGGCCGGGCCACTCCATATCCCCACCGGGCCCAGGTCCTGCCTGCACCCACACGCCTACCTTGCTCGGCCTAGAGGAAGCTAGCCTCCCTAGAGCCCCTCCTTCATCAGAGAACGTGCCCGGGGCCCCTGAGGTACTTTTCCACCTTGATGCCCACGTCCTCATTCCAAGAGAGGGGGCAGTGGCTGCTGTCAGGACCATGGAGACCACTCAGCTTGAACGGACGAGTTGTGATTCAACCTTAACGGCAGGGAAGGCCAGTCGTTCACACTCGGCAAGCAGGGCTGAGCCAGGGCTTCAGAGAAGTCACTGCAGAAGCTGGGGGCTCCCCCACCCCGGGGCTCCCCGACTCAGTCTCAGGCATGGGCCAGGTCCATGGCTGTGGGCAGGCCACGCTCACGTCCTGCGCTTCCAACTCCCATCCTCATAGAGGAAACACGCACCCCCCACCCCCACCCCCACCCCCGAGTTCCCCTGACATGCCTGCCTCCTAGACAGAAAGGCTGTGGCGTTTCACCGGCCAGACACCCACAAGACAGAGGTGGGAAAGGGATTCCTGGCTCTATTGGTGCAATCCAAGCAAAGCTCCCCTCGTTTTTAGACAGGCTTGTCATGTTCAGGTTTTGTTTTGTCTGTTTATTTGTTGTTATTTAAATAAATATTTGTCAAATGATGTAAGTTTAGATAGCAGCAAATAACCATCTATCTCTCTATAAATATAATGTATAACAACATATAAGACAATGCAGGTAATTATATAGATTGTTAAACAACAGCATATAGATTCGGGCATACATTTAAATAACAAAACCATCTATATTTATATATACAGTCATAGATAATTATATTAGTACAGTATATAGTTAAATAAACAAGATCTTCTAAATATACATTTAATGTATAGTATAGAGCTATATTTACTAATTGAAATATATATTTAAATAACAGCTAATAACCATCTAAATATATCTACACATAATATATAGCCATAGTTAACCACATATGTAATTATAAAGATGGAATATAATATTGTACATCAATCTATCTATGGATCTATGTTACTTGCTTATGTCGTGTAGTACCAACATATGTCATATATATGGCGAGAGAGTGAGAGCGGGGGTTCGTCCAGGTCTGCCTGTGCTGACCATGGCCCAGCTGTAGCATGTGTATGGAAGCTGATGACCGTCCGTGTGGACGAGTGTCCTGTAAGCAGACCTGCATCCCCAGTTTTACCACATGCCTGACAGAGTGGCGAGACACAGTGAAAAGGCGCTTTTGGAAAGCCCCTTGGAGAGCGGCCTGGGCCTGGGGGTCCTTGAGGCTGCCCCCCATAGCACTGTGTGCAGTAGCAGAAGCAGGCGGGCTGGCCATAGGGGCGCAGTGGGCAGTAAGGAACAGAAACCCTTCCTGCTGCAGGTCCCCGATGGGCCCAAGGCAGGAGAGACCACACACAGGCGTCCTCGCTACAGAACACACAAGGACAACCATGGTTGCTTTCTCTCTCAAGTGACAGCTGTCACTCACTGATTGCAGGGGTGGCCCACCATGCCACCTTCTCACATTTGGGAATCAAATTTGACACCCCTGTTGCCATATTCTGTCCCTGTACACCCCCTTTTGATCAGTGCAAAGGCCCAACCTCCACCTCATCTTCATATGGCCACATGACACCTGTGACATCTTCACACGCTATGTCATCGTCCGCAGGAACGCATGTGGGTGGTTGCCGTTGAGCTGATCCTGATTCACAGGGACCCTGCGGGGCAGAGCCAAATGGCCCTACAGGGTGTCCAGGCAGCCATCTGTGGGGCAGCCCGCCTCCCCTTTCTCCCGCGGCACGTGGGTCTGACCCCCGGGATGACCACCACGGGGACTCCTTACGAGGAATGTGGCACATCGAGTGTTGCCACTGTGAGCTTAGCCAACCTAGGGTGGCATTCAGTGCCCGGCGTTGGTAAATCCACAATGGCACCCTGATAATGAACCCCTGCAGCACCCCAGTTTTGAGAGATCACCTACTTGCCATTGTTGTTAGAAGCTCTGGCCGCAGCGGCCCCCCTGGGAGAGAGCAGCGCTGACAAGTGACATTGTCCTGGCTGTGATCTGCACAGAGCAGACCCAGCGCTCCATCTTGCTGGACCCCTCAGGGCATTCCGATGCCTGCCTGTAGGCTGGCAGTCCAGGGGCGTGAGGGCCCCGTAGCATGCCTACATCTTCTGTCTTCTAGGTCCCATATTTGTGCATGTGCTTTCTGTGCAGACACGTTTGTATTACCTCTCTACCTATCTACACACTTTTTAAGAATGCGGATTACACCCAACCTAAAGTAACCCGTGAAAAAGTCAAGATTTAAAACCGTGTTCTGTTCACTTCGTGTGTTTAAACAGATTTTAAATGCTGCATAATATGAAAGTTCTAGGTTGATTACTAAACAAGAAATTAAGTTTGAATATGCTACCTAAACCAAATTGGAAATAACCCTTGCCCCAAAGGGGGTGTGTGTGTGGGGGAGAAACTCTGTAACAGTAGTCATTGACTCGAGAGTGTGGGAAACGACCAGAGACGTCTCTCTTTTCTAAATCTGCATGCGCCTTGACTCATCTGATTATCTCCCGATTTTCTGTAGGAACTCAGAGATGAATTATTCATCCTTCATTAATAAACTTTGAAGTACTGTTGAGGAGATGAGACACACTGGACCATTTGCAATGGGCAATGTAATCCCACTTTTTGAAAACCAGAATTAAACATCTGGGGCCATTGACCCCACTGAGTTTGTGATATAATTATGAATATTCATGTACACAAAGCAGCTCCCGCCGGGGCCAGCAGATCCAGGGGCTCCCTGGAGCCCCTCTGTGTCGATGCCAAGCTCCGCGACCTCTGCTGCGGAGACCTTCATCAGAAGCAGGCACTAGGAGCAAGTCCAAGTGTGCTGACTCAGGCCCACTGGCTTCCAACTCTCTGGGGCTGGCCGCCGTTCATTCTCAGGGGCTGCCCAGGCAGTTCGGACGCACGGCAAACAAACCTGTGTGCAAAACATCGCCAGTCCTGAGCCAACTTCACCATCTTCCTCCCCTGCACCAAGCACGGTACCCTTCGCCGGGCACGGTTCTCTCCTTGCAGCATGAACAAAGGACGAGACAGTCCCCCCATCCTAGCTTCCAGGGAGCGCTGTGGCTGTACTTCTTCCTGAAAGCTTTCTCAGTTCTCCTGGCAGTCCGTGGGTGGCGCGCTCGATCTTCCTCACCAGCAGCCTCCTGCAAGGGCGCCCATTCTTCTTGGTCTCCCTTCCCGGCTGCCCAGCTTTGTGGTGCACATGAGACAAGGAACACCTCCAGGGGGTGTGGTCACTCTTGGGCACTTAAAACAGGTCTGTGCGGCAGATGTGCCCAGGGCAATAGGTCATTAGATTTCTTGACTGCTATTTCCACAAACGCGGGAGACAGACGGGGCTGTCTACTCCTGTGAAGAGTCGCAGTCTCGGAAACCCACAGGGGCAGCGCTCCCCTGTCCTGCAGGCTCCCTGGGAGAGAGCATCATGTGGAGGGCAGCGAGCTTGGTGTTTGGTTATTTCCGTGAGCACTGATTGTGAATCCAGCAAGGTGATGTCCTGGGCCAGGTACTCCTCTCTGCCGGCAGCCTGGCCTGCTCCTCTCACAGGGCTCGGCTGGCCTTCATGCTCGGAGGGATGCGGTTCTCAGCGAGCATCAGTCAAGGCAACGGGACCAACCTTCCTGCTTCAGAAGCTTCAGCTGCATTTAACGAGACTCCCTCATCCTCCTGGTTTAGAGAGGACAGGACTCTCTTGGTGCCAACACCCTTGGTCACTAACGCAATGGTTGGCGGTAAGAGTCTGTCCAGAGGTAGCGCTGAGGAGAAGCCTGACAATTTCCTTGTAAAACATCAGCCACTGTGAGCCCAGTGCAGATTCGGTTCCACTCGACACGCGTGGGATGTCCATGCACTGGTGTGGCCTCCCAGGCGGGGGACCACGCTTGTGGTTGGGGTGACAGCCTCCTGTACCAACCACAAAACAGCCTCTAGGAGATGCACCTTGGTTTCCTTGGTAACAAGAGCTCTGGAAGCCGGGGGTCCTGGGTCACCAGGCTGCAGCCTGTATCTGACTCTGCACTAGCATTCTCTGAGAAGGCTGCCCAGTCCATCCCTTGTCCTAGTCAGAGGGAAGTGGGGGAGTGGGGACGGTGGGCCCTCTGCCGCTAATGACAACTCTGTGGCCCCCTGCACTCACACCCCGTGGATCCAACACTAGCTACAAGGAGCCAAAGGTCCTTTTCTGTCTGGAGAACTCTGCACCCACGATGGCGTGTCAGACTTGTTTTTCTACAGAAGGTAGAGGCAGAGCCAATGGCAGGTACCAGGGGGCACCACTCGAACCACCACTCCATGCCATGGATTTGATGCCAACTTGGTGAGCCTAAGGCACAGGCTAGAGCTGCCCCGGGGAGTTTCCAAGACTGGACGCATGACAGGAGCAGAGAGCCGCATCTTTCTCCCGCGTATGAGCTGAAGAGCCGGAACCATTGTGAGGAGGTGCAGGACCGGGCAGTGTTTCCTTCTGTTTTGCACGGGGTCCCTCTGGCTCTGAACCCACTCAAAGGCACCCCACCACCACAGCTACAACGGGGTGGAGACCCTGATCACCCTGAGCACACCTCCTAGCAGGCCTCCCCTGCAGCGCGCTCCCTTCTTGCAGGTGTGTCCCCCGATAATTTTTGTAGAGTTGTCATATTGTGGGCCAGTGTTTTCTCCTCCCCTGCCTGCATACCAGCTCTGTGGTCAGTTATGTATATTCCGCTACCCATCATAAATACTATTCCACTTTATTTTGAGTGAAGCCTCTTATGTCAGCCTCATATTGCCTCATAAGCTATCATTTCCCCCCGAAAGCTAATTAAGCATTTAAAATGCCACGACACTAAATAATAGAACACAATTTGTTTGCCGGCCCCTCGGAGCACAAAGGTCGCTGCCTTATGTTTAAAAGATGAAGTCCTGACATTTCCAAGTTTCTGAGCTTTTGCTTTACTTAAAAATTATATACAGGCAAGAGAAATAGCTAATGGTCCCGCTGAGTCATTATGACAGAAGTGTGGCTTCAGGACCATGTGCCTTGCTATGACAGCTCTGCTCATTCTCCCATCCATCCACTCGGCGCAGCTCATGCTGTTATAAGCAATAGAAGTATTAAGTATAGTTTTGTGTCTGGTGGACTCGATGCTGTCTTTCCCTGAAGGTTTAGAGAGAATTGCGAATCCTCCTTCTACGTTGCTGGTGGCCAGAGGAAGGAGGGAGGGTGATGGCCTTGTCCGCCAGGCTTAGAGCACCCATGATGTCTTGGGGCCTGACCTTCTCCCCTCCTAGTGGCCCCTGGTTAGCACTGATGAGCCCATTGGGACTGTATTCTGTATTCGTCGCGTGTCCACTGGGCTTGGCCCTGACGGCCCTGGATGACCCTGAGCTACCAAGGATTGTGGGTCGGCTGAAGCTGACGCACGAACAGAGCGGGCTCTCTCTGCGGGCGGGACTCGGCTGACCTTTCAGAGGCTGGTGTTCAGGTCTCTCTGGGCGGACTCAAACCTCTGGCCTTTATGTGGACAGACGAGCACCTCCACCATGCACGCGTGCCCCAGGCTGACTCCCACACTTGTTACCTTGGTGGTGCGAGTTGTCATGAACTGTCAGTGCTTAGTTATGCGTTTCAATAACAAACGTGACTTCTTACTGCTGCTTAATACAGCACATCTCTGCAGACCGTCTCCGGAAGATTGCTCAGAGGCATGTTTGGTCATAACAGTGCAGGGGTCATTGCACTGTGCCTGTTTCAATTTGCAGTCTGATGACCAGAATTGGTAACACTGTTACGCCCGGTCCCCTACAGGGCCGGGGTCTTTTGATGGGGGTTTAGTTACTGAATATTGAAAACACCCTGGGCTGCCAAGGAACAAAGCTCCTGTCTTGGAAGAAGTACAGCCAGAATGTTCTTTAGAAGCAAAGATGGCAAGACTGTGTCTCAGGAGCTGTGGACATGTTGTCGGGAGAGACCAGTTCATGGAGAAGGACACCATGCTTGGTAAAGTAGCATGGCGGCAAAATGGAGGAAGAGCTTCAACAAGATGGGCTGGCACCGTGGCTGCCACGCTGGGCTCAGATATTAGAACAACCGTGAGGGTGATGCAGGACCCAGCAGTGCTTTGTTCTCTTGTACATGGGGCCACTATGGGTCACTGTGGGTCACTATGGGCCACTATGGGTCAATGGCGTCTACGGAAGCCACAACAGAGACCCGGCCTGGTTTATTAAGTGGCGGCCCTCTGGTGCCGTGTTTCGATACAGTTTCTCTCACGCGTGCGGGGGTGTGACTGTGATGTTTTGTTTCTTTCCCCAAGATCACCTTTGGGGGGGTCCCCTTCTCGGGCAAGCCCAGCTCTAGCAGCAGGAAGAACTTCAGAGGCTGCATGGAGGGTGTCACGTACAACGGCGTCAACATCACGGACCTCGCCCGCAGGAAGAAGCTGGAGCCCTCCGACGTGGTAAGACTCGTCCCCCATGCTGTCCCTCCCTGGAAGGCTCCCCCGGTGTGTCACCACGTTTGTCTCCATGTAAAGGGAACGCTCGGGCTGTCGGGTGACGCTCAGTGCTGGGTAGAAGGCCTTGCCACTAGGCAGGGGGCTGAGCCCAGCCGGCCGGAAAGCCGTGGCAGGTGTCTTCCGTGGACCAGAGAGCTTGCCCTGTGTCCGAACTGCCCGGCCCAGGAGAGCGATCAGTCCAGGCTCCACGGGACAGCCTTTCTCACTGAGCCCATCACGCCTGGCGCCCCGCTTATGCCGAGTGCATCCTCAGTTTGACATTCAACGGTCCACACCCCTTGTGTGTCCACTCATCCATTGGGGAAACCCCCCTCCCCATCCCCCAATGGTCCATCACTAACCCCATTTTCTCTCTGTATTTCCTGTTTCCCATTCTCTTCCGGCCCTGCCACTCTGCCCCCAGGAAGGTGCTGCCCTTTGCATCTACATTGTGAAGTGATTTTTATCATGAATTAGGTGAGGGCTTCCAGGGGGACCTTCAGTTTTCCATCCAACACTGCATTCTTCAGGATGGTTTGCTTTAACCATTGAAAAGTTTCTAAATGAGAAACAGGTCCAGGGTCAGGCCTGTGCTGGCCAAGGCAGGGGTCCACAGAGGGAAACGAATGCCGTTTTCACCTGGGCTCCACGCTCACCCAGGTCTGGTGCTGAGATGAAGCTGCACACACTGCCTGTAGAGGGTCTCCGAGCAGCAGCCCCCAGCACTCACAAAGGACCCCACAAAGAAATAACCCCTGGAAATGCCTTCTGGGGGTGTTTCCATGGTTCCTCAGAGCAGGGCCCATCCCCAGCCTGGATCCCGGGCTGTCACCTTACAGAGTCGCAGTGAGTTAGGCAGGCCTCCTCACTCCAGGTGAGCAGTTCCAACCCACTGGCATTCCGCAGAGTCAGCTGAGGCTCTAGCAGCCTTGGGGATCAGAGGGTGCAGTTGTACTGTGCCCTGCAGGGTCCCTGTGAGCTGGACTCAGTGTGGTGGCCCAGGCACTGCACCTGCTGAGCTCCCCCTGAGGACAGGGAGGGGGCCATGTGCCCCTTGGACAAGAATGCCAAGACCCGCCAGGAGAAATCGCCCAAGGTGGGCAGTGGCAGCAGCGAGGGAGTGGCAGACACGGGGGCATTCAGAGCCCACGCTGTGGTTCTGATCTACAGCATCATCGGGGACATGGAGGCCATTTTCAGCTTGGGAGCAAGGGGCTCAGGCCCCTGATTTGCTAGAAACCAAATCTACAGCTGGGAGGGACAGAATCTCGCAGAGCCCTGCCTGTCTCTCAGTGGTGCCAGACGGCTACCTGAGCATACTCCCCAGGCTCCCAGGAGGACCCTGTTCCCAAAGCCCCCAGCACTACAGGGGGCAGCAGGGCCACCATGGCTAACCAAGATCCTGTGTCAGAGATGCTGAGGAATCACCCGTGCTTCATGCTCACTGCCCACATGGGCAAAGAGTCACATGGGCACACAGGCAAATGGACGTGCCGCACAGAACATATGAGGCAGGTGGGAGGTGAAGGCAGGCTGGGTCACTTAGAAAACACACCACGTCAAGTGTCCACACGGGGCAGTTGCTTTCCTAGATCTCAGGCTAGCGTTTCCGTGAAACTCACTGGGCACCCCTGTGGCCATGCCCCTCCCCCAGCCCTGCAGGTGCCCACTCACCGACCCCCATATTTCCCACAGACTTCCGTCAGTTCGCTCTCTGGGGCCCTTTGCCCAGAGACGGTGTCCACCCAGGGCTTTGTGCTCAGTGCTTGTCTGGACAGGGAGCCCTTTGAGTGGCCTCCCCGGGTGGACGGGTGGGCAGGTGGGCAGGTGGGTCCAATGCCCCTCTGCCAGGGCACAGGTGCCCTTGTTGGCCTAGGACTTCTCAGAGACAGACTCTGCCCTGTTGTGTGAGCATGCTTCAGGGTGTGGGTAGAGCACTCACAAACACACATGGAAGACCACAGGTCCCGGCCCCAGCAGATCAGGGCAGGACCCACGGAATGGCCAGATGGAAACTGAGAAGGTTCTCCCACTGTGAAGATGGAAACCCAGGTCAACACACCCAGTGTGGAGACGTTCCTGCGTGGGAGCTGCACAAACACACACACACACACACACACACACACACACACACACGGAGGAAGCTTCCGGGGAAAACACACTGAAACGTCATTTTACAAAGGCAGTATGATGTGGGAGGAGAGGGCATTGAGATCAACTGTGGATTCCTCTGGCCTTTGAAAGGAACATAGGGGGGCTCTGAAGGCCAGCATGTCTGTGGATCTGCAGGGCGCGGGAACGGCTTTGTTTACACCGAGATGGAGCGGGCGCTAATTAGTGCAGGGGTTCAGGGGTGGCCCCCAAACATGCATGCACTGGGAGGAGATTTCAGTGGGCTGTGGATTGGACTGGGTCTCCTGGCTAGGGTGAGGGGGATGGACACCATCCGTCCACAGGGACCAGTCACTACCCTGGAGTCCATGCCGACTCATAGTGACCGGCCTACAGGACAGAGCAGACCTGCCCCTGTGGGTTTCCAAGACTCTAACTCCGTATAGGAGTAGAAAGCCCTGTCTTTCTCCTGTGGAGCTGCTGGTGGTTTTGAACTGCTGACCTTGCAGTGGACAGCCCAAATCCTAAACCCTACGCCACGAAGACTCAGGGGATAAGCATCTTACCTAAAGGTCACTGGGCACGTAGAGCGACTGGTCCCCGGCCCCTGAGGTGACAGAAGTGACTGGTCCTGACATGTGGCAGGGGCCACCCAAAGTGTGGCATCTCTCCCAGAGGGGGATCTGGCCCCTCCTCACTGATGGGGGAAGTGGTCAGCTGTACTCAGGAAGCCCCACGCTGGGGCACCTTACTCAGCCAGGCTCCCCCACCAGCTGCCACTGTCTGGCTCATGGCAGGTGACACTGGGGACACACCTCATCACCCACTCATCAGGCCTGGCACTCTGAGTAGATTCATGCCCGTGTGTCCACCCCAGGTACTCAATGTCAGGTAAGGCACTCAGGACAACACCCTGGCCCCTGCCCATGCCCCCCTGCACCATGGAGGAGGGGGTCCGCCAGCTCGCTGGCACCCTCTCAGCTCCTCTCTGCTCACCTTGCCCTCTGCTCTCCAGGGGAATCTGAGCTTCTCCTGCGTGGAGCCATACACGGTGCCTGTCTTCTTCAACGCCACCAGCTACCTGGAGGTGCCCGGCCGGGCAGGCCAGGATGTGTTCTCTGTCAGCTTCCAGTTCCGCACCTGGAACCCCAACGGCCTCCTGCTCTTCAGCCACTTCGCCGAGAACCTGGGCACCATCGAGCTGGCCCTGACGGACAGCCGCGTCAGCGTGCACATCAACGTCACGCAGACCAGGATGAGCCAGATAGACATCGCCTCGGGTGAGTGAGCCCTGCCTGGCAGGGCTGCGGCGAGCATGGTGGCCTGCAAGTGCCAGAGACACGTGGCAGGGTGGTCATTCGTTCAGGCTTTGCTGCGCGGAAACTAAGGGTGCTGTGAAGGTGGGGGCGGGGAGGCATCGTGGGGTTGTTTCACAATGTGATCGTCCTTACAAACACTGCTGTGGTCAGGAGCGGTGCAGGGGGACCTTTTAGAAGATGGGTGCAAAGGGGAGGCCTGTCTTGCCCCCCCCCCTTTGTGGCCACTGATGTTATGCGTGCTAGTGACAGAGTAATGGCTACTTCTAAGTGAGCATTATGGATTTAAAAGCAAAGCTGTTTATTGAAATAGACATCCATCATAGACCAGTCCACCCACCCCCCTTTCTCCAGGACATTCTAATAGTGTTCTCTGGCGGAACCAGACTGCAGGTGGCAACCACTAGAGAGGTGCGTCCAACGGCCGAGTCGAAACTTGGAGGCCACCCTGCTGAAAGGTCGCAGAGTCAGCGGTCAGAGACCCAGGAGTGGCCAGAGACATGGGAGTTACTGGACAGCGTTCGGCTTGGCTCAGGTGGCATCAAGAGGGGAGGGGGTGGCAGGGGTGGAGCAGACGTTGTTCTGTGTGTTCTCTGACGGAGATGGTGCTGAGAACGCAGATGGGGACACGAAACAGTAACCCCTCCCCTAAGGACATGTCGGCCGGTGAGGAGTGAATGGTAAATACTACACGTGTGTAGCTGATGGGTCTAGTTGTGTGTCCCAGGAGCACCCTGATTCTGTGGAGACTTGTATAAATAAGGCGCATGGCCGAGCTCCTGCTGTGGAAACAGTGAAGGCGGAGAAGGACGCTCGTGACCAGTGAAGAGAGTGACCGCCAGGGCTGCTGCTGTCCTTGGTGGCCGCTCATGAGGTGTCTTCTCTAAGCCACCCTGTGAGCTGTGTGCGTCCTGCTGTCTGTCCAGCTGTGGGCACCACAGCGGGGCCGGTCTGCTCTCTGTGGCCTGCCGAGCAGACCCTGGAGTGGAGCAGGTGTCCCAGGGGACACACGTTCTCCAGGAGAGCAGGTGCCGTGTGTGCATCTGGCCGGACCCTTGGTGGACTGCCAGCATGCAGAGCGAGGAGCCTGTGTGTGGGAGACGAATCTGCGCCACTGAAGCCAGAAGTGACTGCGTTCTTCCTCCGCGGCACTTACTGGTTCTGCGTTTGCATTCCCCTTTGCTTTCCCCCAGAATGTTTGGAGCTGAAATGATGGATGGGCCGCCTGCCTCACGGCTCGCCAGCCCGCTCCACCCGGACGGTCGGAGACCCACAGAACCGTCTGCAGAGAGCACACTCACACTGAGAACGCACGCATGCACGCACACAGGGTTCCCACAGAAGCAGATGCCCCACGAGACTGTGTTGTGGTTCATTTGTCTTCCCTAATAAAGAAGAAGCGCTTCCAGTGTAAGCATTGGGCCTCCCTCTGGTGCTCCTGGAGCAAGCTGGCCTGCTCCTGCTTCTGCCCGGAGCAGGGCCCGTTGAGTTTGAAAGACAGGTCTTCAGCATAGTGATCAATGTGTGCCCACTGATTCCATCTGGTCCCATCTAAGACCCAGGGTTACTCTCACTGAACACTAGCGGTGTCTGTTAAAAATGGAGAGGGGGAGGGGGAAGGGCAGGACTAGCAGGAGATAAGTGAAGTACCTTCATGGGTAAAAGGGAGGCGATGAAAGCTGACTTTAGACATTGAGTCGATTTAACCAAGAATCTGTGCCGATTAAGGGAAACTGGTGTAAAATTTAAATGTGCAAGGGGGCTCTGAAGAATCCCTGGGAACAAGGAATTAGAAGATAATGTAATTTCCTCACAAACATTCTGACGTCCCCTTGTATCTATAGTCTCTCTTTTATGTAGTCAATTTAAAACACCTTAGTGATTCAAATATTTCTCTTGTTCCCTCTGGACATTGAAGTGAAACACAATCTCCGCAGAGACCTTAGCAGAAATCCACGGGCTCTCAGCAGAAACCAAGCTATCTCCACAGCGATGCTTGCCCAACGCCCGTAAGATCAGGGAGTCGATGCATCTATTCAAAGCTTGTGTCTTGCACTCAATTACCCATCTTTCAAGTGTGTGGGAGTCCATTCCAGAGAACCTAAGCTGTGTGTTAATGTGTTTTCACCAAACTTAATTAAATGAATGAACCAGTCTTTGCAAATAAAAACACTAGGAAGACAACACGGGGAGCTGGGTACCCCCAGGATATTAACGTCTGCTCCAGCAAAGAGAAAAGTGTTTCTGCAGCAAGTCTACCAAATTCTTACTATCAGTAGCAGCTGGCGTGGTCTCAGCCCTGTCTTAGGCAGAGAAGCAGAGCAGTGATGTTCAGATGGGTATGGCTCACACCATCGGACAAGCAGGCAAGTTCCAAGTCCATGGGTCACCTGTCGGGCTGGAGGTTTCTCGGGCTCACGTAGCTGTGACAGCAGATGAAGTCGAAATCGTTGGGTCAGATGGCAGGTAGGCCCCTGGCTACAGAGGTGAGTGAAGACAAGGTCAGAGGGCATGCTGCTGGGGATTTCCAGGAGTGGTAGCACAGACAGCAGGCTACTGGCTCATGCCCAAAGAACTGTAGGTCACATGGCTCCCCGGATGCATGATCCCGAGCCAGCAAAAAGCAAGCAAGCTTTTCCACAGTGCCCACTTATCTAGGAAGCAGGCCAGCCCCTGGAAGAGACCTGATGGGGTGAGGGATGGGAGTATTAGGTTTTGAGAGCCGTGTTGACACAGAGGCCTAGCCATCACACTCTCTTTCTTCGTTTTTGAAATATTTTGTGAGAAAACTAAGAAAATTTTAGCTAATCAAGGAAAGATGAAAAGACAGTTTTCACATTTTGGTGTTTACACACACATGCTCACCAACTACTTCTCAAGTTGTGTCTTAGGAGGGCTGTAACGTGACTCATCACCTCTGTTATCATAGGACATGTCTCTCTGTTATACTTTTAGTTCATGGGTCTCAGGCCCCAGGCGGAGATGAATTGGTTAAAAGTCTTTTTGTACTAACTTGGGCAGATAATTTGAATAAACTGCACGTGTTAGAGAAAGTTCCCTACGTGGTTGGCCCCGCCTTGCTTGAGTCCCTCTCCATTGTGCTCGGTGTTCCGGGGTCCCATGCATCACTGAGAATGTACCCCCCTGTGTAAAATTCAAACTCGGGGAAGCCCTACATTTCCAGAGTGGGCGATCTTGCGGCAAACATATTCTCAAAGTTGCAGCAACCCTTCTACGAAACAGCTCGTGGAATTTCATTCTGCAGAAAACAGCGGCCACGTACAGGGAATGCGATGTCCACATTGCCTCAGTCTCGGAACAAGTGGTCAAGGGGAAACTCGGTGAGACCAAGGCTGAGACCAAGGCTGGTTCACTGGAAAGACTGCTCAGCACAGAGGGGGTTTGTTTTGTTTTTGAACTTCAAAGTCAGAGCCCTGGGGTAGGATTGGCCTAGACGTGTGCTGACAAACGATGTGTAGCCAGCACAATGAGGACATGTTTTAGATCATGCTCCAGCAGAGCACAGTTCCTTTAAATAAGATGACATCGTTGCCTGATGGGTGCTGAGATACCTTTGATGCTTGCCTTTCCGTTGAGAGGAAAGACTATCCATGACCCAGGAGCCCTGGGCCACTGTGAACTTGCTATGGGGGTGCTGCGGCACGGTCCTCGGCCCAGTTCCCCCAGGAGAG